CGTGTCGCCTCCTGTCGCACCAGACTCTTCTTTGGCACCACCGCCTGGGTCACCCCTCCCTGCCACGCCTTCGTGGCATGCACTCCCGTCTCCTTGTCTCTGGTCTCCCCAGGTCTCTGCCTCCCTTACCGCCCTCGCCTGCCCCGCCCTGTCTTCCTTGCATCGAGGGGCGGCAGCGCGCCGCTCCTCACTCCTCCTCGTTTCCCCCCACGTCTGCTCCCCTGCAGACCCTCCACATGGACGTGTGGGGCCCAGCCCGCGTCAGTGGACAGGGCCGCGAGCGCTACTTTTTGCTGGTAGTTGACGACTACACGCGGTACACCACAGTCTTCCCCTTGCGCAGCAAGGGTGAGGTCTCTGCTGTCTTGATCCCTTGGATCCGCACAGTCCGTCTCCAGCTGCGCGAGCGGTTCGGCCAGGACCTTCCTGTCCTGCGTCTGCACTCTTACAGAGGTGGTGAGTACTCTTCCGACCTCTTGCGGAACTTTTGTCGTGGGGAGGGCATCACCCAGTCGTTCACGCTTCCGGACTCCCCTCAGCAAAATGGGATTGCTAAGCGCCGCATTGGCTTAGTCATGGAGGTCGCTCGTACCTCCATGATCCATGCGGCTGCTCCCCATTTTCTGTGGCCGTTTGCGGTCCGGTACGCTGCGCATCAGCTCAACCTCTGGCCCCGTGTCTCCTTGCCGGAGACCTCGCCCACACTGCGTTGGACGGGGAAGGTTGGCGATGCGTCGGTGTTCCGGGTCTGGGGTTCTCGTGCCTTTGTTCGCGATACGTCCGCGGACAAGCTCTCCGCCCGCGCCATTCCCTGAGTCTTCCTTGGCTTTGTCCCTGACGCGCCTGGCTGGCAGTTTTACCACCCCACCTCGCGCCGTGTCCTCCCGTCTCAGGACGTCACGTTCGACGAGTCGGTTCCCTTCTACCGTCTCTTCCCCTACCGCTCTGCCCCTTCCCCACTCCCGTCGCTCTTCCTTGTTCCCGGTCCACCTCCGGTAGACCCCCTCCCGCCCCAGGGTCCTGCTCCCTCGGGAGTGCCTCAGGTCGACCATCTCCCTGGTACTGCGCCTGTTCAGGTAGCTGTCGTCTCAGGTGCTGCTCCAGGTGCAGCGTCTGGGGGTGCTGCGTCTGGGGGTGCTGCGTCTGGGGGTGCGGAGCCGGGGGGTGCGGGGTCTGAGGCAGGAGGACTTTGAGTGTCTTGCAGCTGCTGTACCTCGTTTCGCTTCCTTGGTGCTTGCCCCTGAGGGAGACCTGGATGCTCCAGACATCCCGACCCCGCGCTCTTACGCAGAGGCGATTACGTGTCCTTACTCCTCTCAGTGGCAGGCAGCTATGGATGCCGAGATGGCATCCTGGAAGTCCACAGGCACCTACGTCGACGAGGTTCCCCCACCTGGGGCGAACATAGTCGATGGCATGTGGATTTTCAGGGTGAAGCGGCTGCCGAGTTCTCCGCCTGCCTTCAAGGCGCGTTACGTTGCTCGAGGCTTCAGCCAGCGACAGGGAGTTGACTACTTCCAGACCTTCTCCCCCACCCCGAAGATGACTACTCTTCGGGTGTTGCTGCACGTCGCTGCTCAGCGTGACTACGAGTTGCACTCGCTGGACTTCAGTACAGCCTTCCTGTAGGGCAGCCTGCACGAGGAGATCTGGCTGAGCCGCCCACCTGGTTTCACTGGGACGTTTCCTGCAGGTACTCAGTGGAGCCTCCGCCAGCCAGTCTATGGTCTCCGCCAGGCGCCTCGCGAGTGGCACGACACATTGAGGACTACACCTGCGGCTCTTGGGTTCGTTCCTTCTACAACAGACCCGTCGCTGTTTCTACGCACCGACACCTCGCTGCCGCCGTTCTACGTCCTTGTGTACATCGACGACCTCGTCTTTGCCACTGCTGACACTGAGGCACTGGCCCTTGTGAAGTCTGAGCTGCAGAAGAGACACACCTGCACTGACCTGGGTGAACTGCGCAACTATATTGGCCTGCAGATCACCCGGGACAGAGCACGGCGCACCATCACACTGACTCAGTCACACATGGTGCACCAGGTCCTTCAGCGCTTCGGCTTCCAGTACTCCTCGTCACAGCTCACTCCTCTGTCTACCAGCCACTCGCTCTCAGCTCCACCTTCGGACGAGTCCGTAGAGCCGAGTGGCCCGTACCCAGAGCTTGTGGGTTGCCTCCTGTACCTGATGACGTGCACTCGACCCGACCTCGCGTACCCTCTAAGCCTCCTGGCTCGTTACGTGGCTCCCGGAAGGCACCGAAAGGTGCACTGGGATGCTGCGAAGAGGGTACTGCATTACTTGTGCACTACGTCAGGCATGGGGCTCGTGCTTGGAGGACGGGGTCCAGTTGTCCTCACCGGTCACGCAGACGCCTCTTGGATTGACGACTCAGCTGCGCAGTGGTCGTAACAGGGTTACACCTTCAGCCTCGGTTCCGGCTCTGTTTCTTGGCGGTCTACCCGTTCGTCTTCGGTTCTCAGCTCCAGTTGTGAGGCTGAGATCTACGCCGGGGCCATGGCTGCTCAGGAGCTACGCTGGCTCACCTACCTGCTGACCGACTTGGGAGAGCAGCCTCGTTCGCCACCAGTTCTGTACGTAGACAACAAGGCCATGATTGCCTTGTGTCAGGAGCACAGACTGGAGCACAGAACGAAGCACATCGATCTGCGATACTTCCTTGCTCGTGAGTTGCAGCAGCGTGGCCAGCTTCGTCTTGCGTACGTGGCCACTCGGGCCAACACTGCTGATGTCTTCACCAAGGCACTTCCGCCTTGTGATCATCAGCGCTTTGTTACTGTGTTAGGCCTTGTGCCTACTTTGCCTCACTTGCTTACTGCCTGACTCTGCTTGTACTATGATCTACATATATATACCTGCATGCTTGCACTTGCTAGGGTATGATCATGGTATTGTTTGTTCTCCTTATATAACTCTGCATGTGAACTGGCCTTGTGGCCCTTTGCTTGTGCTCGGACTGTGTGGTGACTTTGTGATCCACCCTGAGCTTGCTTTGCTTTTCTTCTTCTCTTGACTGGTCTTGTGACCATTGCTTGCTCTTGCTATCCCCCACTTCGCCTATGGGGGTGTGTCAAACTTCTGTGTTTATATATCTCTAGGCTGTAGTGGGTTTAGCCTTAGGGGGTACAGAATTTCTCTCGACATTCTACTTGTACCCCCCCCTTTCACCTAATGAATCATTCTCGTCACTTATTCTCATACAAGTGACCGCTTGGTCCAAGCGACCACTTGGTCCAAGCGAAAGCTTGGTCCGAGGGACGACTTGGTGCAAGCGAGCACTTGGTCCAAGCGAGCACTTGGTCCAAGGGACGACTTGGTCCAGACGAGCAGTTGGTCCAAGCGACCACTTGGTCCATGCGAGCACTTCGTCCAAGCGACGATTTGGTCTAAGCGAGCACTTGGTCCAAGCGACGACTTGGTCCAAGCAAGCAGTTGGTCCAAGCAAGCAGTTGGTCCAAGCGAGCGCCTGGTCCAAGTGACGACTTGGTCCAAGCGAGCGCCTGGTCCAAGTGACGACTAGGTCCAAGCAAGCAGTTGGTCCAAGCGACCACTTGGTCCAAGCGAGCACTTGGTCCAAGCGACGACTTGGTCCATGCGAGCACTTGGTCCAAGCGACAACTTGGTCCATGCGAGCACTTGGTCCAAGCGAGCACTTGGTCCAAGCGACGACTTGGTCCAAGCAAGCAGTTGGTCCAAGCGAGCGCCTGGTCCAAGTGACGACTTGGTCCAAGCGAGCGCGTGGTCCAAGTGACGACTTGGTCCAAGCGAGCGCCTGGTCCAAGTGACGACTTGGTCGAAGCAAACAATTGGTCCAATGACGACTTGGTCCAAGCGACGACTTGGTCCAAGCGAGCACTTGGGTCCGAGCGACGACTTGGTCCGAGCGAGCACTTGGTCCGAGCGATGACTTGGTCGAAACGGGTACTTGACGAACCCTGGTTTTAGTCATTTCGTAGACATTCAGTAGGTCCGACTTTGAGTGCGTTTCATCTCGTGAAGCCTGCGCACTCGTAACAGAGGCGGTTTGCAAGCGTGACCCGACGCCAAACACGAGACCAGCAAAAGAGGAATACAACCTCTACCTTGGTTACTCCCTTTTCGCCTATATTTTGATGATGGAAATAGTAGCCTTTTCAACCCTAGATCGCTTCTAGGTCAGTAGTAAGTAGTGGGCTTGCCGCTTTTCTCTCCGTGGAGCCAGATCGTATTCTGAGCTCCTGGAGCGATCACGAGCGGGAATCCGCGCTTGATCTCTGAGCTTCGTGGCCTGACGTCAACACCTCTCAGCACCACTCATCACCACTTGGACTGCCCATCGCTGTCCTCATCCCTCCAGTCATTCGCGCCTCGCAGAGCCTCCGTTATTAGCCGTCTCGATTGTAACCATGCTGTCGCGAAGGCAGGCGTCGGGATTCGCGCGGTTGCTGGCGTCGTCGGCGCCTCGGGTTTTCCCGCTCGTGGATATCCATGGTGAGACGGTTCGAGTAGTCTCTATGGTAGTTTTTTTCGAGAATCTTGGTAAAGCCGCGTGTGTTCCCGCTCGTGGATGTTCATAGTAAGGCGATGCGGAACCAGCTCGATAGTCCATTCGATATCCGTCACTCGACTTAACAAGCCGCGAGATTTCTTTCTCGTGAGCGTGTATGGGAAACAATGCAAAGACTGAGTTCCCGTATCCTTGGCTGTTCCTAGTGAGACGATCTGATGATACCCTGTGATGGGACGTTTCGATTCGACGATCTGATGTCGCGATCTGAGAAATGCGGGTCTTTGGTGACTTGTAGTAGCCGTTTCTGAAAATGCGGCCAGGCCTTTCCGTTCTGATTGCTCTGTGAGATACAGCTCAGTACATTCGCAGTGATTTGATCGAAGTAAGGCCTCCGCAACCGCCTGTCTTCTTCTGACAGCTCAGTACATTTGCAGTGATTTTTGAGTCGACTACGTGAGATACAGCTCAGAACGTTCGTAGTGCACCAATGGCACGTTCGCAGTGCCACGTCGCCGTCCTCCATTTCCCAGCTCTCTCTCTCTCTCTCTCTCCCCGCATTCCTGACTCGCAGGCACCTCAGCCGTCAGTAACAGCGGTGGCGATCTGTCGCCGTCCGTCCGAGTGTCACAGTGCGGAATCCTTCACCCCATTCCCCAGACCTCTCCTCCTCCCCGCATTCCGAATTCGCAGGAACCTCAGCCGTCGGTAGCAGCGCTGGCGATCTGTCGCCGTCCATCGCCAGCCGCACTGCGACGTCGCTCGCTGTTCGCAGCAGCGTCGCCGCGCGCGGCCCTGGCGGTCGCTCGTCGGTCAGGTGAGCGCCGAATCTCACAGCTGTCAATCTGAGGGCCGCCTCCCTTGCTGTTGTTTCCCCGTACGCTCCATTTTCTGATGATTTTTTTTCCAATCTTCAAGCAACGTGTTCGCATTCTTCTGCCCCCTTCCCCTCCCTGCATGTGCTCCCATCTCCCTGCAGTGGCATGGTTGCAACAGTGTTTGGCGCCACGGGCTTTCTTGGGAGATACGTGGCGCAGCAGTTAGGTAAGTGAAACGCTTGCTAATAAGTGTTTTCTTGCTCATTCCCTGCCCAAGTTTCGCTATACAGATTCTTTTTTTCTCTCTCTCTAAGTTGATCTTATGATTCCACTGCCTGCCTCCAGTCCCTAGTGACGATGCCCCTTTCCACTCCCCCTCTCTCCCTCACAGCCCGCTCGGGTTCCCAGGTGATGGTGCCCTATCGCTGCCTGGAGGACGATCACAGGCACCTCAAGCTATGTGGCGATCTGGGGCAGGTGAGATTCGGGGCAGGTTCAACTGATGGTTTGGTGCGATGTGAGACAGTAGAATCTTTCCTGGAGGACGACCACAGGCACCTCAAGCTGTGTGGCGACCTGGGGCAGGTGAGGTGACACCTGGGGGAGATGACATCTGGGGTTATGTGGGAGGTGAGTCACGAGGATGATGCCTGGAGGACGACCACAGGCACCTCAAGCTGTGTGGCGACCTGGGGCAGGCGAGACCTGGCTGGTGCAGGTGAGATGTGGGAGCAGGTGAGACCATTGGGAGGCGAGATCTGGGGTAGGTGTAACTGTAGCTTGGTGGTATGTGGGGTCCGCAACGGGAGGAGAGCATTGCTGCTGGGGTTGCTCGCTCGTTTTGCTGTCGTTCACTCTTCCCGTATACCTATGTTCCATCTCTCTCTCTTTTCCTTACCCTCTCCTTTTTCCCGTCCTTTCTCAACAGGTGGTGCCTGTTCCGTTCGACGTGAGGAGCGATGAGAGCATTGCGGCCGCTATTGCCAAGTCAAACGTTGTCATCAACCTCATTGGTCAGTAGCTGTGGTGGGTTTGTTGGAACAGGATTGGGAACAGAACAGGTGTGTGAGCTGGGTTGTTTGTTGTGAGTGAGGAGCGATGAGAGCGTTGCTGCTGCTATCGCCAAGTCAAACGTTGTCATCAACCTCATTGGTTAGTAGCTGTGCTCTGAACGGGCCAATTAGATCGAGTCTTGTTTGTTTGTTTGTTTGTTTGTTTGTCTGTTTTGTTTTTTTTTTCATGCCAAACCACCTTCGCCCCTCTTTGTCGTATCTGCACCCTGTTGCTCCTTCTCTAACCCACCCAGGCCGTGACTTTGAGACACGCGACTTCAGCTTTGAGGACATCAGCATCTCGTCACCTCTCTCCTCCCATCGGCATTCCCCCCCTGCTCTCCCCCGCCCCCCCTCCTCTCTCCTCCCTCCCTCTTCTCCCCCAGGCCGTGACTTTGAGACGCGCAACTTCAGCTTCGAGGACATCAACATCTCGGCCCCTCAGCGCATTGCCAGGGTGAGTTGAATTGACCTGCGTTGACTTGAGATGACCTGTGTTGACCTGGTCTGGCCTAGGCTGGGTTGGCCTGGACATGGGCTGTATGATCCAACTTCAGCTTCGAGGACATCAACACCTAGGCGCCGCAGCGCATTGCTAGGGTGAGCTGAGTTGACCTGCGATGACTTTCGTTGATCATAACTTTAACCTATTTGCGGGCTTTGCAAGTCACTCACCTGTTGACCTGCGTTGACCTGGGCTGAGATGGCGGCATCGCACGCACGCATGGTGCATCTGCCCTGCCTGGACGCCGCTCCCCTCTCTGTTACCATTCCACTGCCTACTCCCCTTACCTCTTTCGCTATCCCCCCAACCCCTCATCCCCCTCAGATCGCCAGGGAGCATGGCGGCATCGCCAGGGAGCATGGCGGCATCGCCAGGGAGCATGGTGGCATCGCCAGGGAGCATGGCGGCATCGCCAGGGAGCATGGTGGCATCGCAAGGATGGTGCACCTCTCCTGCCTGGGCGCTGCTCTCTCTGCTGCTCCCATTCCTCCAACCTCAATCCCCCTTTTCCTCTCCCTCCCCCATACCCTCGTGTGCTCTCCTAAACATCGCCAGATCGCCAGGGAGCATGGGGGCATCGCACGCATGGTGCACCTGTCCTGCCTGGGCGCTGCTCCTCACGCGCCCTCCAAGCAGCACCAGACCAAGGCGCTGGGGGAGGCAGCAGTGCTGGCGGAATTCCCACAGGTGGGTGGTTTGAGGGCTTATTCCTCTCATATCTAGGGGGGTTCGCGGTTCAGGTTCAGGGTCAAGGGTTTAAGGAGTCATATCCTTGTCCTGCCTGGGCGCTGCTGCTCCCCACGCGCCCTCCAAGCAGCACCAGACCAAGGCGCTGGGGGAGGCAGTAGTGCTGGCGGAATTCCCACAGGTGGGTGGTTTGAGGGCTTAACACTCTCATATCTAGGGGGGTTCGCGGTTCAGGTTCAGGGTCAAGGGTTTAAGGAGTCATATCCTTGTCCTGCCTGGGCGCTGCTGCTCCCCACGCGCCCTCCAAGCAGCACCAGACCAAGGCGCTGGGGGAGGCAGCAGTGCTGGCGGAATTCCCAGAGGTGGGTGGTTTGAGGGCTTAACACTCTCATATCTAGGGGGGTTCGCGGTTCAGGTTCAGGGTCAAGGGTTTAAGGAGTCATATCCTTGTCCTGCCTGGGCGCTGCTGCTCCCCACGCGCCCTCCAAGCAGCACCAGACCAAGGCGCTGGGGGAGGCGGCTGTGCTTTCCGAAGCTCGTGTTCTCTTCTGCTCCTTCCCTTCACTCCACTCGTGTTTCCTCTGTGCCCCGCTCCCCCTGTGCCCAGGCCACCATCATCCGCTCCGGCCTGCCGGCAGGCACGGGGGACCGGCTGCTCAACAGATGGGCTGTCTGGGCGCTCATGGCAAGCTCGTGTCCTCACTCTCTTATCGGTGCTACCTCCCACCCCTCCCTCTTCTCCATCCCCACCCTTCCCAGGCCACCATCATTCGCTCCGGCCCGCTGGCAGGCACGGGGGACTGGCTGCTCAACAGCTGGGCGCTCATGGCAAAGAGCCTTGTGTTACTCCTGTATGATGGTTCTCCCCTGTCACCAGGCCACCATCATCTGCTCTGGCCCGCTGGCAGGCACGGGGGACCGGCTGCTCAACAGCTGGGCGCTCATGGCAAAGAAGTCTCGCCTCCCCCTTCCCGTGTCTCCACCCCTCTTCCTTTCCCCCTGTTCTTCCCCCTGTCATCAGGCTACCATCCTCCGTTCGGGCCCGCTGGCAGGCACGGAGGACCGCCTGCTCAACAGCTGGGCTGAGCGCTCACTCATGGGCCTTTCTCTTTCCTTCAATCCCGCCCTCCCTTTCTCTTCCATATCCCCTCTTCACTGTTCCAGGCCACCATCATTCGCTCCGGCCCTCTGGCAGGCACGGAGGACCGCCTGCTCAACAGCTGGGCGCTCATGGCCAAGAAGTTTCCGTTTGTCCCCGTTATAGCAGGCGGCCACACACTGTAAGTGATTACTTGGGGTTAGAGTGGGTTAGTTGGGGTCTGATTGACATGGTAAGATGGAAGATGGAAGATGGAAGATGGAAGAAGGAAGAAGGAAGATGGAAGATGGAAGATGGAAGATGGAAGATGGAAGATGGAAGATGGAAGATGGAAGGTGGAAGTTGGATCACTGTTAGTGATCACTTACTCTTACTCTTATTCTTAGTTGGGGTTTGACATGGTACGTCAAAAGTTTCTTATGCATCTTGGTTTCCAATCCTGCCGTGTGCGTTTGATTTCAGAGGCAAAACGCTTTTTGTTCCTAGTTTTTAACACAATATCTTCTCTCCCCTTCCCCACTTCTTTCGTTCCCCTCGTTCCCCCATGCCCCCCCATCTTCTCCCCTCTTCCAGTATTCAACCGGTGCACGTGCTAGATGTGGCCACAGCAGCCAACGCCTTCCCCCATCTCGCCACCCTTACTCCTCCTGCCCCAATATACCCTCCCTACTTCTCCCCCCCATCAGCATCCAGCCAGTGCACGTGTTGGACGTGGCAACGGCAGTCAACGCCACTGTCACTGACAATGCCGTAGGACCTCTTTTCTCCTTCCTCCCGTCTCCTCTCTCCATCCCCCACCAGTATCCAGCCAGTGCATGTGTTGGATGTGGCAACGGCAGTCAACGCCTCCGTCACTGACGACGGTACCAGCTGCACCCCTCGTCCTTTCTGTTTCCCACCTCCCCCCTCCCTCCCCCTCTTCCAGTATCCAGCCAGTGCATGTGTTGGACGTGGCAACGGCAGTCAACGCCACCGTCACTGACGACGGCAGCAGCTGTGGGCAAACGTACGAGCTGGGGGGACCAGAGGTGCTTCAAATCAGGGACCTGGTAAGTCTGTCTAACTTAAAGCCTTGGTAGGGGGGGCTCAGCCCAGTTGTCTACTGTGGCTACTACAGATGACGACAGCAGCTGTGGGCAAACGTACGAGCTGGGGGGACCAGAAGTGCTGCAAATCAGGGACCTGGTAAGTCTAACTAACTTAAAGCGTTGGTAGGTGGGGTTCCCTCCACCGGTGCTCCGTGTGCCGGAAACCATTCGCCAGCACTCCTCCATTCTCACCATCCCTCATTCATTTGACTCCATTCTCACCATCCCGTTTCGTTCCTGCGTCTGAATACATATGTCTTCTCTCCTATCCTCTCCTCTCCCCGCCCCCTCCACGCAGGTGCACCGTGTCTTGGAAACCATTCGCCAGCACTCCATTCTCACCACCCCTCGCGTCTTCCCTCGTTTGACCCCCCGACCCCAACCCCCTCCCTTTTCTCCTCCCTTACTTCCGCTCCCTCTCCTCAGGTGCAGCGTGTCTTGGAAACCATTCGCCAGAACTCCTCCATTCTCACCATCCCGCTTCCTTCTCCTCCCCTGCCCTCCCTCCTGCCCCTCGTCCTCCCGTCCCCCCCTCCCTTTTCTCCATTCAGGTGCACCATGTCTTGGAAACCACTCGCCAGCACTCTTTTCTCAGCACCCCCCCTCCTCCTCCTCTTCCTCCCCTGCCCCCTCCCCCCCCTCCCTCCCCCCCCCGTGTCCTTCTCTCCCCCCTACCATCCCTTCCCCTCTCTTCCTTCTCTCCACACAGGTGCATCGTGTCTTGGAAACCATTCGCCAGCACTCCTCCATTCTCAGCGTCCCTCTTCCTGTCGCCCGGGTGAGTGAAGTGAACGGTGCAAGTAGTCTGGGGAGTGGTGCAAGTCTGTTGGCGAGTGGTGCTGGCAGGTTGCGAAATGAGGAGTTGAGCACTCTCCTCAGCACTCTTCCATTCTCAGCATCCATCTTCCCCTCGCTCGGGTGAGTGAGCGGTGTGAATAGGTTGGGGAGTGGTTTGAGTAGGATGGCAAGTGGTGCTAGCAGGTGGGGCACTGCCGCACTGGGAAGGGAAGCTGGGCTCCATCCGTCAGCACTTTACCATTCTCAGCCTCCCGCTTCCTGTGGCCTGAGTGAATATGCAGATATGGTGGGTGGTGCGAGTATGCTGGTTCAGCGCAGTGCCAGCCAACCTATGCCCATCCCCATGTCTGCTGCCTATCCTCCTTACTTATCACCCCTTCTCATCCTTCTCTTCTCCACCCTTCCTCCCCCCTCGCAGGCCCTCGCCACCCCACGGGAGTTGCTCCTTCACCGCGTGCCAACCCCCATCCCCAGCCCCACCATGTTCACACTCGACTACATCAACTCCCTCTCCTTCCCCCACATCGTCTCACCCAACGGTAATTCTGTCACTACTCGTACGCTGCTCCTGGGTTCAAATCCCTGTACTACAGTAGTCATTGCACCAGCTGTGTGGTAACGCATTTCTTAACCCCCATCCCCAGCCCCACCATGTTCACGCTTTATTACATCAACTCCCTCTCCTTCCCCCACATCGTCTCGCCCAACGGTACGCTCTCTCACACTCTCTTCTCCCCGTTCTCTCCTGGACGGATGGTATGCCTTGTAACACCTCATAGCGCCTCCCAGTCAACGGTGTATCCTGCTACCGAAGCACCTCGCAACGCCCATCCCCAGCCCCACCATGTTTACCCTCGACTACATCAACTCCCTCTCCTTCCCCTACATCGTCTCCCCCAACGGTATGTTCATGCTTTCTTGGTATGTACTGTGGTACGGTATCAGCTGTGTGGTATGGCACATGGACAAATATACGCCCATCCCCAGCCCCACTATGTTTACCCTCGACTACATCAACTCCCTCTCCTTCCCCCACATCGTCTCGCCCAATGGTACGTTGTGCTTCCAAACCTAATTATTGCTGGATCAGCCACGTTTGGTCTTAGGATATAGCACCGCGTGGCGCCTCATAAGGCCCCGTGTGTCGTACGGCTGGGACCTCGGGATCATCCCGCAACCTCTCAAGGGCCAACCCGTGTTTCGTGCCTTGGTTTCCCACTCCAATTATCCTCCTACCACCTCCCTCTCCCCAGCGCTCACATTCGAGGACCTTGGGATCATCCCGCACCCTCTCACAGGCCTCACCATCCACTACCTCTTCGCTTTCCCTCCTTGTCCTCTTCCCCCATTGACTGTTTTTTCCCCTGTCCTTGTGTTTTCCCCCCTCTCTCTCCCCCCAGCGCTCACGTTCAAGGACCTTGGGATCAACCCCCATCCCCTCACGGGCCTCACAATCCACTATCTCTTCGCTTCCTTCCTCTTCCTCCTCTCCTCATTGACTGTCTCTTCCCGTCCCTGTGTTTTTCCCCTCCCTTATTTCCCCGCCCCCCAGCGCTCACGTTCAAGGACCTTGGGATCAACCCCCATCCCCTCACGGGCCTCACAATCCACTATCTCTTCGCTTCCTTCCTCTTCCTCCTCTCCTCATTGACTGTCTCTTCCCGTCCCTGTGTTTTTCCCCTCCCTTATTTCCCCGCCCCCCAGCGCTCACGTTCAAGGACCTTGGGATCAACCCCCATCCCCTCACGGGCCTCACAATCCACTATCTCTTCGCTTCCTTCCTCTTCCTCCTCTCCTCATTGACTGTCTCTTCCCGTCCCTGTGTTTTTCCCCTCCCTTATTTCCCCGCCCCCCAGCGCTCACGTTCAAGGACCTTGGGATCAACCCCCATCCCCTCACGGGCCTCACAATCCACTATCTCTTCGCTTCCTTTCTCTTCCTCCTCTCCTCATTGACTGTCTCTTCCCGTCCCTGTGTTTTTCCCCTCCCTTATTTCCCCGCCCCCCAGCGCTCACGTTCAAGGACCTTGGGATCATCCCTCTCCTCTCACGGGTCTCACAATCCACTACCTCTTCGCTTCCTTTCTCTTCCTCCCCTCCTCATTGACTGTCTCTTCCCTTCCCGCCCCTTCCCTGGGTTTTTCCCCTCTCTATATCCCGGGACCCCAGCGCTCACATTCAAGGACCTTGGGATCATCCTGCACCCCCTCACGGCCCTCACCATCGACTATCTCTTTCCATCCCTTGACTTGCGACTTAATGCCTCCCCACTCTCCCCTCTTCCCCCACAGCGCTCACATTCAATGACCTTGGGATTATCCCGCACCCCCTCACTGGTCTCACCATCGAATATCTCTTTCCATCCCTTGTCCTCCCTTATTGACGCTCAATCCCTTCTGGTCCTTGTGTCTTTCCCGTCTTTCCCCCCGGCCCCCAGCGCTCACATTCAAGGACCTTGGGATCATCCCGCACCCCCTCACGGGTCTCACCATACACTACCTCTTTGCTTCCCTTGTCTCGCCCCACTCTCCCCCACTCTCCCCCTCCCCCCAGCGCTCACATTCAAGGACCTTGGGATCATCCCGCACCCGCTCACGGGTCTCACCATCGACTACCTCTTTGCTTCCCTTGTCTCGCCCCACTCTCCCCCACTCCCCCCCTCCCCCCAGCGCTCACATTCAAGGACCTTGGGATCATCCCGCACCCGCTCACGGGTCTCACCATCGACTACCTCTTTGCTTATCGCAGCGGCGGGCCGCAATACGGCCAGACCGTTGGCGAGAAGGTGTCTGGCGCAGGCTTCTAGGTAGTTGCTCTTAGTGGAATTTGAGTTGGCAAAACAATACCGTAATCCTTATGCTTATCGCAGCGGCGGCCCGCGATACGGCCAGACTGTCGGCGAGAAGGTGTCTGGAGCTGGCTTTTAGTGACTGAAATTCCGAACTTGTTTCTTGTTGAACGCATTTACGGTAATTTGTCTGTATAAGATGTGCTGGTTAGATAAATATGTTGCCGAAAGCAATTTCGCCCTTTTAATCAACAAATTGGTTGTAGGTAAATCCCACAAATTCATCTAGTCGTATGTTCTCACCCTGACCCAGTAAACAAAAGCGAGCTATCTGTAACGCGTATATGTCGTAACCTTTTATTTTCACAGCACAATTACGCTCCCGCGCCTATCTTGTCAGCTCAGTGGTTTATTGCGCAAGCAGAGCTGAGCCTTTCGGTCAGCGCCATTTCCGCCGCCATGGCCGCCACAACCAACGCTTTTCTCGCAGCGATTTCCGCGAAATCCGCTGCTCCCTTGAGCCTGTCGTCGTCTGCCACATGGCAAAAGCGCGTTGGTCCTTCGACGGCGTTCGTCGCACGCGGCCAGCCGCTCCACTCGTCGCTCGCCTCCCGTCGCATTCCCGTATCCCCTGCGACGAATGCAGGCGCGTGCGACCGCCGCGCCACGGCGCTGCGCGTCGTCGCCTCAGCCGTGAGCGACAAGCCTGCGACTGCGGCGACTCCTGGCGGCGGCGCGGGAGTTAGCAAGTCGTATAACGTCGTTGTTACCGGATCGACTAAAGGTTAGCTTAACCGACTGCAGCTTGTTTTGAGTGGACTAACGATAAGGCCAGGGGCCGTAGCGCGTTTTGACTCGAGAACAAACAGCCAATAGGGAGTCCATTATCCGCCCGTTTTCTCTGCCATTCTTGTCCCCTTCGCCCTCCCATCCCCACCCCCCCCCCCCCCCCCCGCCTCTTCTTTCTCCCTCCCCCCTCCCTCACCCCTCCCCTCCCCTCCCTTCCCCCTTTTCCCCCCTTTCCCTCTTTCCCCCCTCCCTTCATTCCTCCCCTCTCCTCTCCTCATCCACAAGGCATCGGCCTGGCATTGGTGCGCGAGTTTCTGAGGGCGGGAGACCGAGTCGTGGTGTGTTCACGATCAGGTGAGAGAGAAATAGAGTGTGGTCATGTGTGGTAGCGTGTGGTGGTGTGCGGTGGTGTGCGTTGGAGTGTGGTTGAACACAGTGTTCTTGCCATCATGCTCTGTGGGCGGGAGACAGAGTCGTGGTGTGCTCACGATCGGGTGAGATGGTTAGAGTTGTGGTGAAGTATGGTGGTGTGCGGTTAAACTCCTGCCCCTGCCCTGCCCTGCCTCTGCCCTGCCCTGCCTCTGCCCTGCCCTGCCACCAGGCGCATATTCCATGCCCTTGTTGTCTTCGCCCTCCTGTATTTTTGCCGTTTTCCCATTGCCCCTTTCTCCCGACCCATTCCTTTTTGCTCGTCTCTCGTCGCCTTTCGTCTTTGCCGGCTCATTAAATGTATCCCTGTCTCTTTACCTTATATGCCGTGCCTGTGCATCCTACATGCCTTGCGCGAGTGCAGGCGAGAGGGTGGACGATGTGGTTGCTCAACTGCAGAAGGAGTTTGGCAAAGAGAATGTGGTGGTGAGTGGTGGAGAGTGGTGGTGGGGAGTGGTAGGGAGTGGGGGGGGAAAGTGGCGTGGCAGTGAGTGTGGAATGTCCAGTCATGAATATGATTCTAAGGCTGTGTGTCAGTTAGTGTGTCAGGCTGTGTGTCAGTTAGTGTGTCAGGCTGTGTGTCAGATTACGCGTCCAGGTCACTTTTCCCTTGAATTTCTCAGTTCTCGCTGCTCTTCGCTGTACCGTCGCTTCCCCTTCTTCATCCCCACCTCACACCTTTCCAACCCTACTGCGCCCCACTGCACCCCTTCCCACTCCAGGGCATCGCATGCGACGTCTCGAGGATGTGAAGGTGCTGACTGGCTTTGCTGTCAGACCAGTCGCCTCATTCCCATTTATACCTGCTGCTCCACCCAACCCACACCACACCACCGCACTCCACTCCAGGGCATCGCATGCGACGTCTCTAAAGGGGACAACGTGAAGGCTCTGGCTGACTTTGCTGTCAAATCACTCGGCTCTGTGGATGTGTGGGTGAGTTGACCTGAGTTGACTTAAGTTGACCACTTTTGAGACGCCTCAAAAGTCGTCTTAAGGGGACAACGTGAAGGCTCTGGCTGACTTTGCTGTCAAATAGCTTGGATCTGTGGATGTGTGGGTGAGTTGACCTGAGTTGACTTAAGTTGACCACTTTTGAGACGCCTCAAAAGTCGTCTTAAGGGGACAACGTGAAGGCTCTGGCTGACTTTGCTGTCAAATAGCTTGGATCTGTGGATGTGTGGGTGAGTTGACCTGAGTTGACTTAAGTTGACCACTTTTGAGACGCCTCAAAAGTCGTCTTAAGGGGACAACGTGAAGGCTCTGGCTGACTTTGCTGTCAAATAGCTTGGATCTGTGGATGTGTGGGTGAGTTGACTTGAGTTGACCTGCGTTGACCTCCGCTGTCTGTATGGGATGGGATCCATTCCTGTCTACTCTGCACGCATGTATTCTGAAAGTTGCACGGATCAGTGCGCATGAAGAAGGGCAGCAGCAGGAGGAGTCGCTGTATTCATGAGCACTGATCTGTGTCTGTCTGCTGTGTGGGAGCCTTCCTGTCTACCCCGCACGCATGTATTCTGTCGTGCCTGCATGTATTCTGCATGCGCTCATGTATGTACCTCTTCCCTGCACCTTCAGCCATGAGACTAGGCGAGCTGCAGCTTAGGAGAATTCTTTAGCAGAAGAAAAACAGTAGAGTTTAAAACTCTTGTGTTGCCAGTTCAAAAAACAAGATCGAAAACTCTTCCCTGCATGCTTGTGTGCGTGTGCGCGCGTGAGTGTGTGTCTGTGAGTGTGTCTGTGTGTGTGCATGGCAGATCAACAATGCAGGCTCCAACGCGTATGAGTACACTCCCCTGGTGGAGGCGGGAGATGCAGCCTTAGAGTGAGTGGGAGGGGATGTTGATTGATGGAGAAGGGAGAGAAGGAGAGCAATCGACATTCATTCTTCAGGTTCCAACGTGTATGAGCACGCCCCTTTGGTGGAGGCAGGAGATGCAGTCTTAGAGTGAGTGAGAGGAGGGAAGGATGGGTATTGAGAACTGATGGGATGAAGCCAAGGAGGGCAGGGGAAGTGTGGTTTATGGGGCTCCAAAGCGTATGAGTACACTCCCCTGGTGGAGACGTGTGATGCAGAGTGAGTGAGCACAGGGAATAGGGAATAGCCTCACAGGGGAACGGGAGCAGAGGTGCATGCGCCTCCAACGCGTATGAGTACGCTCCCCTGGTGGAGGCAGGAGATGCAGCCTTAGAGTGAGTGAGAGGAGGGAGTAGGGCATAGTGACAGAGGGAGAAGGGGTAGTGGGAGTGGGAGATAGTGCGAACCAACGTGCTGGGTGTGATGCTGTGCTGCCACGTCATTCCCCTGTCCCCCACTCCCGCTCCCCTACACAGGGAGATAGTCCGAACCAACGTGCTGGGTGTAATGCTGTGCTGCCGCGTCATTCCCCTGTCCCCCACTCCCGCTCCCCTACACAGGGAGATAGTCCGAACCAACGTGCTGGGTGTAATGCTGTGCTGCCGCGTCATTCCCCTGTCCCCCACTCCCGCTCCCCTACACAGGGAGATAGTTTTGAGACGTCTCAAAACTAGATTCCCCTGTCCCCCACTCCCGCTCCCCTACACAGGGAGATAGTCCGCACCAACGTGCTGGGTGTAATGCTGTGCTGCCGCCAGGCCATGCGCCTCATGAGGGAGCAACCCGGAGGGGGACACATATTCAACATGGACGGCGCTGGTGCTGACGGGAACGCCACTCCGCGGTGTGTGAGTGGGGTTGGTTGCTATGTCTGCCGTGTATCAATGCCACACACACAGCTTGCGCCTCATGAGGGACCAACCCGGTGGGGGGCACATCTTCAACATGGATGGTGCTGGTGCCGACGGCAACGCCACCCCCTGGTGAGTGGTTGCAGTATCCCACGCACACGCGCACACGCACACACACACACACGCACACGCACACGCACACACACACACACACACACACACACACGCACACGCACACGCACACGCACACGCACACACACACGCACACGCACACACACACACACACCATGTGCCGTGCACCGCACCATACCCCACCGGCCTAGTGGGGGGCACATAATCAACATGGACGGGGTTGGTGCTGATGGCAACGCCACCCTCCGGTGAGTGAGTGTTTGTGTGCTTCTCTCTGTCTTCTCTGTACTGTATGCCACACACACACACACACACACACACACACACACACACCATACACCATGTGGCATATGAGGGAGGAGTGCCACAGCACCGGTCCGGTGTGGCACATATTCAACATGGATGGTGCTAGTGCTGATGGCAACGCCACTCCGCGGTGCGTGTGTGGGTGGGTGGGTTGGTAACAGTAGTGCATACATGATACATCAACCTGTCGGGTGGGAGGGTCACATTGTAAACATGGATGGCGCTGGTGCTGATGGCAACGCCACTCCGCGGTGAGTGAGTGTTTTTGGTTGGCTGTTATGTCGTCCTGCAGCATAAACCACACACACATGCCATGCGCCTCATAAGAAGCTGGCTTTTGAGTCGACTCAAAAGTCGCTGGTGCTGACGGCAACGCCACTCCCCGATGAGTGAGTGTGTTTGTGGTTGGTTGCTATGTCGTCCTGCAGCATATGCCACACACACATGCCATGCACCTCATAATAGTACCTCATGTGCATGCATCGCGCACACACCTCGCGCCATGCGGCTCACGAGGGAAATTAAGGCCCTCTTTCTGCTCCTTCGATCGATCTACCTTCTGTTTCCCCCCTCTCCTCGCCTCTGTCAGCTTCGCAGCCTACAGAGCAACCAAGCGCAGCCTGGCTCAGTTCCCCAAGCCAAGTCTCGTGCCTCTCTCACTGCTCCTCTGTCTCCCCTTCTCTTACTCCTCCTTGTCTTACTCCTTCTCTTTCTCCCTCTCTACGATCCCTTCCCCCTACCAGCTTCGCAGCCTACAGAGCAACCAAGCGCAGCCTGGCCCAGTTCACCAAGCCACGCCTGATGTGTTTCGTTCGTACTGCTCCTTCCCTGCCCCTTTGTTTGCTCTGCCTGGTATTCTCCCCTCTGCTTACCCCCACTACCAGCTTTGCAGCCTACGGTGCCACCAAGCGCAGCCTAGCGCAGTTCACCAAGTCACTGCAAGCCGAGCTGAAGATGCTCAAACTCCCCAACGTTGTTGTGCACAACCTGTCGGTGAGTCCTGGTTGGTGGGATGGGTAATTGTGACTTGAGACCTTGGGGCCTCATCTGCTGCTCCCACCCCAGTTCCCCCAACGTCATCCTGCACAACCTGTCTGTCGGTCAGTTCTGGCTGGCGTACGTGCCAACCTGTCATTTCTTGTTGAACGCTCCTGCCACTCTCCACCGCTCCTGTCACTCTCCACCGCACGTGTTTTGAGTCGACTCAAAACACGATTTCTTGTTGAACGCTCCTGCCACACTCCACCGCTCCTGCCACACTCCACCGCTCCTGCCACACTCCACCGCTCCTGCCACACTCCACCGCTCCTGCCACACTCCACCGCTCCTGCCACACTCCACCGCTCCTGCCACACTCCACCGCTCCTGCCACACTCCACCGCTCCTGCCACACTCCACCGCTCCTGGTGAGGCTAGTCTTACCTCCTCTCCTTCCCTCCCTTCCTCCCTTCCTTCCCGCTCCCGTCTCCCCTCCCTCCCCCCCTCCTTCCCCTCATTCCCTTCCTTCCTGCCTTTCCCCCTCCTTCCCGCTCCCCACAACCTAGCATGGGGACCATGGGCCTGAGCCTGAACTCCGCTCAATGGTCCCCAATTTCCTCTTGGGGTTCATTCCTCTTGGGGTTCATTCCTCTTGGGGTTCATTCCTCTTGGGGTTCATTCCTCTTGGGGTTTACCCCAATTTCCACCGTCCTACCCTCTTCCCTTCCTGCTCCCCCTTCCTCCTCTCAACCCATCAGCCCGGCATGGTGACCACAAGCCTGCTCATGTCAGGCGCCAGCACTCAAGGCACTCAGATACACTGCATTCTTTCTTCTTTTGTAGCTCGCTCCCTCTCCCCTTCACCCCCGTTTCTCCCCCTCCCCCCGTCCCATCAGCCTGGCATGGTGACCACTGACCTACTCATGTCAGGCGCCAACACTCCCCAGGTGAGAGGAGGATGGAAAGGATGTAAGTTGATGTGATATGGCTTTCTCCTAATGTTGTTGTAAGAAAAGAAAAGAAAGAAGAAGAAGAAGAAGAAGAAGAAGAAGAAGAAGAAGAAGAAGAAGAAGAAGAAGAAGAAGAAGAAGAAGAAGAAGAAGAAGAAGAAGAAGAAGAAGAAGAAGAAGAAGGAGGAGGAGGAGGAGGAGGAGGAGGAGGAGGAGGAGGAGGAGGAGGAGGAGGAGGAGGAGGAGGAGGAGGAGGAGGAGGAGGAGGAGGAGGAGGAGGAGGAGGAGGAGGAGGAGGAGGAGGAGGAGGAGGAGGAGGAGGAGGAGGAGGAGGAGGAGGAGGAGGAGGAGGAGGAGGAGGAGGAGGAGGAGGAGGAGGAGGAGGAGGAGGAGGAGGAGGAGGAGGAGGAGGAGGAGGAGGAGGAGGAGGAGGAGGAGGAGGAGGAGGAGGAGGAGGAGGAGGAGGAGGAGGAGGAAGAAGAAGAAGAAGAAGAAGAAGAAGAAGAAGAAGAAGGAGGAGGAAGAATTCTGCCCTTCGTTCTGTTTTGGCTGCTGCATCTTCTGTTTCATCTGATAGATGAAACCCCTGCTTCATGAAAATACTGCCCCCCTGTTTTCCTCCTTTTCCCAATGCGAATCCGTTTGCCTATGCAGGCCAAGTTCTTTATCAACGCCCTGGCAGAGCCAGCAGAGGAGGTACGTGTTGGTTGGTAACTGCAGTGCGGTGCGGTGTAGTGCGGTGCAATGCAGTGCAGTGCAGACCCCCTCTCCTCTGCAGGCCAAGTTTTTCACCAACGCCCTGGCAGAGCCAGCAGAGGAGGTATGTTCGTAGGTCAGTGCGGTGCATCGAGGTGTAGTGCGGTGCAGTGCAAACCCCCTTCCCATTTGGAGGTCAAGTTACCCATCAACGCCCCGGCAGAACCAGCAGGGGAGTTACGTGGTTGGTTGATCAATGCAGTGTATTGAGGTGCAGTGCGGTGCAGTGCAGTGCAGTGCAGTGCAGACCCCCTATCCTCTGCAGGCCAAGTTCTTCATCAAGCAGCAAATGGACTCTTTTTTTTATCAGTCACAAATGTTTTTCACAAGCAACATTGCAACCTTGGCATTAACCGTCATGTCTTTCTTGACATTTTTTTTCCGCCTGTCTCTGTATTGTCTCTCAGCGTGCCCTCTTCGGCCAGAGGAAGAACCGTTATGTGAAAGAAGACTGATGTTTTGGATTGCGGTCACATGTATTCAAAGAGTTGTAAGAAGGGTTATGCAATTAGGTCATCCATCTTTATAGGCTCCTCCACAAGGCTCGGGTACACCTCAGTCTAACGCCTTGTCGTCGTCACCAAAGAGTGAGTAGTAGATGCATGAGCATGTGTCTCAAGTGCAGTTACATGAGCTCCTTGTTGACCAGTCAACCTTATGAGCCAAATGTCTTACCCATGTCTAAATCGTGCTTTGTGCTGAGGACAAAGATTCTGTTTTTTCCTTCTATATTTAAAAGGATGGCCATTGTGGACCACTGCAGTATTAAAAATATTATTTATAGATTACGGTACTCATGTAGTTATGTTTCGCAATTGTCTGTTTACAGTTATTGCCACTATTCAAATAACTGGCTGATTCCTAAACGCGAAAACGAGGTCATTGTTAACCTGCGTTTCCTGATTATGAAGTGGCGAATGGGCGGTCATCACTCGGGTCGACGAGTTCTGCGTCGAGCCGTCGATATTTCTAATATCGACGCTGCTCGACAAGGGTTTTTCAATCTAAAACGAACATCGACCGTCAGAGGATGACACCTTTATCGACGGTCAATATCTGCCGAGAACCATCTTTGTTCAGCACAAACTCCGGTGACCCAGGCCACTACTTCGTGCCTGCCGAACCAAGCTCGAACCTCGCCTCCGAACAATTTGCTTCGGAGTTCTGGCTCGGGGTTCACGAAGCCAAGCAAGCCCGTGCAGCCCTGCTCCCCTGCCTGTGACCTGTCTTCCTTCGCCTTATCCTTCAACGCAACTAGCGGTAGCAGCTGCCAGTATATCAACCGCGCTTCTGTTCCCGAACTTGTAACTGCAGCCTTCATTTCTCCATTTACCTGACTATTTGAGCATCACCAACGCATAGCCATTTTCTTCTGTCTGTAGGCATTTCCCTCCGTTTATAGTTCCTCTTGTCACACCATGTCAGGCCGTGGAAAGGGTGGCAAGGGTCTTGGAAAGGGCGGAGCCAAGCGACACAGAAAGGTGCTTCGCGATAATATCCAGGGTATCACCAAGCCGGCGATCCGTCGTCTCGCAAGGCGTGGCGGTGTCAAGCGTATCAGTGGCCTGATTTATGAAGAGACTCGTGGCGTGCTCAAGGTCTTTCTTGAGAACGTTATCAGAGACGCTGTGACGTACACTGAGCACGCCCGCCGGAAGACCGTTACCGCCATGGATGTGGTATATGCTTTGAAACGCCAAGGCCGCACGCTCTACGGGTTTGGCGGTTAAACTCACCTATGCCTTGTATAGACCTTCGCGTGGTTTGCTCTGTTCTGCGCCTGTTTAACAGCTTAGTGTTGACATTATGTGAATGTATGTTTTCTTGATTATGCAGCTGATGGGTTGACCTGTGCTGTCTGTCTATGTACTCTTTTAACCTTGGTTGGCGTATAACATGGCTCATCTTCCGGAACCCTGCACACAATGGCCTCACGCGTGAAGCGCGTTTGAGGTCCTCAGATTGGCTGTCAGATTAAGTACCATCTCAGATAGGTACTCAAATTTACTCCGACAAACAGAAAGAAGTCTGAAATGTGAGGCTCCTAGATTGAGAGCTGGTGGTTGAGAAAGCAAGAGAGATGCGGTTCTGAGGGAATGCCTGAGATCTAAACTAGGAAACAGATCGAGCACATAAATAACACTCCCAAAACCCAATTAACATTCTAAAAACAGGTGCTGGCTAAGGGAAAAAAAAACATTTCTTACAAGAGGAGAGCAGTTCCTCATAACATTTGGTTCTAATGAATGCACAAGCAGGCATCTACATAGGCATCTCATAGCTGAGTTTATGGCTTCGACCAGTTGTTGGAACGCGCGCTTGCAAATAATAGTGAACGGAGGGATCAAAGAATGGTGCAACCACATCTGCCAGATGCTGCATCGGCTGGTTGTTGTGTTGCTGCAATTTAACAGAGGAAAAGGGGGGAGTACCAGAGGTGGAAAGGAAGGGTGTTGGGAGGAACAGGGGCAAGTGAGAGAGAGAGAGAGAGAGAGAGAGAGAGAGAGAGAGAGAGAGAGAGAGAGAGAGAGAGAGAGAGAGAGAGGAGGGAAAGGGGGGGGGGGGAAGAAGAGTTGGGGGGGGAGGAGGAATCAATGGAAGGAGGAAAAGGGGATGGGGGGAGGAGAGATGGAGAGAACAACGGACAAAAGGAGGTGGTCAAACGGGAGGGATGCAACAAACGATGCAGGAAACCTTGCAGGCACGCAAGCATTCAAAGGACGGTATGCAGATGAGAACGGTGTGAGGGAGTGAGGCGGAAAGAAGGAAGACACAGCAAGGGGTGCAATGGGGAGAGAAACGGAGAGAAATGTCGTAAGAGTGAGTGAGAGAGAGAGAGAGAGAGAGAGAGAGAGAGAGAGAGAGAGAGAAAGAGAGAGAGAGAGAGGGGGGGGAGGGGGGGGGGGGAGAACGACTACCTGTGGTTTTGTCTGCTTGAGCTGGATGGACGACGACATGCATTGTGATCGGAGTGCCTACGATTTCGCTCACGGGAACACGGGACTCCGACAGAGTCTTAGTATTCTCCAGCAATCTCCCGGCGTTAATGAGAGTAATCTCGCTCACCGATTTCGGACCCCCCTCTGCAGAGCAAAAAAAATCGGAGCATATGTGGGAAAGAGAAATCAGAACAGCGACTGTCCTATATGAAAGCTAAATCATTTAAAAGAGCTTTTGAAAAAAACCTATCAATTACGTTCTTCCAGGAGTTCGAAAGTTATCTGTATAAATAATATGTGATCACGGTGGCACGAGAAAGAAAAGCGCAACGTAAGATAGCTGCAACAGCATGCGAGCGACCGCAGGTCGTGCGCGAAGGTAGCTCATACAGATGAAGAGGCGGGTGATGGGGACAAATGAGTGGCAATAACTTATGTCGAGCGGAAGAGTACAATCTGATCAGGCATGGATGTAACGTCTTCGCATGATAACGAGAATAGCAGGGCGTGAAAAACGACGCTTTGCGGAGCGGGCATAATAGTACCAGGAAGAAAATTGATAAAGGCATGTGGAAGGAAGACACGTCAAATAACGCGTGAAGATTGAACAAGCACGCAGAGACGGCTGCCAGAAGAGCACAGCAAAGAAGCTAATCACGCAAGACAAAAAAAAAAAAGTAAATACAATTCCACAGTTGAAATAGTACCTCCAGGCCATTGAGAAAGGATTTTTTCCTTCAGCGACAAGACAGTAGCCTCCTGCTCGAACTTGTTCGGACCGATGTCCGATCCGTCCGCTAACCGAAACTTCACTTCTATCGGCTCGTCCGACACGACAGCCATTGGCTCCCCCAGCTTCACGCAACCCTAAATAGGGGTAAATACCCCTATCACCTTTATTTACTAAAGGAACTGCTATGCTAGGTACTTCTAATCAGGGCCGATAGTTCAGCCTGAAGTTAGGTCAAGATCACGAATAGTAGGGACGCTTGCAGCACACGATTGTGAAATCCATGGAGGCGAACCCACATCGGTAACTATCTGAAGGACGCAGACAGATGAACTATACGATTTAGGTCGGTCAAAGGCAAGGACAGGGGAGAAAACCTAACTAACGTGTAGTGGGAGGACAAGTCAGGGAAAACGAAAACACCACCAGTGAGTGAAGTTTGTTGAAGCGGAAACAACTAGGGATGGATTAGCCTGGAAGAAGGGTAAGTAGGGGAAGGTGGGGAGAGGGATGGGGGGTGGGTGCGCGTTGGGCGTGGTGGTGGGGGAGAGGGGAGGTTGGGGGGGAAGCTCAGGAGCGGGTGGTGGGGCCACAGACCTGCGCATATGTTTCGGCGATGGGGAGAAAGGGGAAATGGACTACAGTGTACAGTACAACTGTACAAGGGGCACTGGGAATGGAGCTCGGGGAAGGGAGAAGCCTGGATGAGCGGGGAGGGGCAGATGGCGTGCAAGGGGCGCGGTTGGAGGTGTGGGCGAGTGACCGTGCAGAAGTGAGATGGGCGGAAGTGGCGCGGGGAAGGGAAAGCGCGTGGCGGGAGCGTGGGTGTTGTGGCGGTTGGTTTCGTCACGCGGTATTCTTGTAACGTGACGCTGCACTTTCGCCATTTTCTGACAGGAAGGACAGACAATCTCGTTGCCGTTTTACCTCGTATGTTCTATCCATATCCTGACCGCTCATGAAGCACACCGAAGCCATCTTGTATTCGACAACGCACTACCCTACACCGAGTCAATGCGAGCCGCAACAGCAAGTCAGAGCAGTCAGTATGCTTGGCCGTTCAAAATTTACCGCGCTGTGCCAGAAGCTTACCGCCATCACCGCGAGCCCAGTGCTCCAACCACCGCCGTCCATCTTTGAACCAAAATTCATTGATGAATCTACCGCCGCCCATCTCGCGAAACACAACACACCAGATGGCTCGATGTTCCCTTCCCTTTCCTCCTGCCCCCTCCTCACTCCCTCAAGTTTCTCCCCTTGCATTTTCAATCGTCAACTCTTCTAACGAAACAGCTTAGAGAGACGTGAGGCTGGTTTCTATATTATTAGTACTATGCAATAGTATTAGTATCCTTTCGTATGTTCTTAAGAATAGGACGGTAATCAACAGGCCTCTTTCTTGGCCGTCTCTTGAGGCGCCGCTCTCATAAACGCTTCCTAGCTGCTGCTTAACTCAGGAAGCTCAAATATTCGCACAGTGGTTTCCACAGCCTTCTCACGATTTCCACGATGGCTCCAACGCCGTCGCCTTTGCGCATACTGTCCACCATCCAGTCACTTCGTCGATTCTCGTCACTCCGTCAACGTCTTCTACTCCACCTTTCGCCCCTACTAGCTCTGGCTTCTCTCTCCATCTTTCTCCTCCTTCCCTTCGGCGTAGTCTCGACAGCTCCAGACGATTTCCCGCCTCCCCATCCCGACGATGTCGCCGCGTTAATCGCGCTCAAGGCGACTTGGGGCGACTTCCTGGGCTCCAACACGTGGCGCGTAACCCGCTCTTGCCGCGAGTGGAAAGGCGTGACGTGTGACCCAGCCAACGGTCGAGTCAGGCGGATTGATTTATCCGGATGTCAGATTCAGGGGAGGCTGCATAGGGATATCGGTAATCTTCCCGCTATGGAGTCGCTCATTCTAAGCAACAACGAAATCGACGGTTTTTTGCCTGCTACTTTATCTCGACTATCGAAGCTGCAATCACTGTTCCTCGATAGAAACAGAATCAGTGGGCAAATCCCGGTTGGGTTAGGGTCGTTACCGAATCTTCGCATGCTCGACTTTGGTTACAACAACTTGACCGGCACGATCCCAGACGACATCGGTAACAGTCATTCGATTTCTTCGCTCATTCTACAGCATAACCAGATTGGCGGGAAGATTCCGTCCTCGCTAGGAGCATCAACGTCTCTGTCTGTACTCATCCTCAATAACAACCGCGTAGATGGGCAGATTCCGTACGCGATTGGAACAGCTCCGAATCTGTATTCGCTGGACTTGAGTCACAATCGACTCTACGGACGGATTCCCGATGTGTTCTCGCGTTCGCCCAGCCTTTACATGCTCAATGTGGCGAATAATTTTCTCACCGGTCAGCTGCCCGATTTCCCAGCGAAAGCTGGCGATATCAACGGCGAATCCGAGTTTTTCGTCGACGTGTCGAACAACTACCTGTACGGGCCGCTGAAAATGATGATGGGAAACGTTTCAATCTGCCCGACAAGTGACCGCGTGCCTGGCTTGCGGGTTTCAGTGGGGGGTAACTGCATGTCCGGTTCTTTCAGCTGCCCGCTACACTTTCTCCAGCCTCAGCGAAAACCCGCCAATTGCAACGCGTTCTGCAAAACATTTTCGTTCGCCGGGCAGTGCGGCGGGCAGGGAACGTGCATTCCCAAAAGCTCGGTTTCTCAACGCCTGATGCGGAATGTGACGTGTGCTTGTAACGAAGGTTACCTGCCCGACCCAAAAGATCCGTTCTTATGTCGCGAGGAGGGGGAGCTTTCGGAGCAAAAGGAGGATGTATTGCGGAAAGAAGCACTGTGGAGGGCGGAGGCGGCGGGGGAAAGCGGAGGGGAGGCGGAGGTGCGGGGAGGGGTGGAAGAGGAGGGGAGAGAGGAAACGGTGCAGGGGGGGGATTATCAGGGGGCAGGGGAAGTGGAGGAGGGGGAAGGTCAATGGGTTTCGGTCGGAGATTTGACCGAGCAGGAAGCGGAAACAAGCGGGGCGGAAGGGGGGGATGAGGTGAGCGTGGGGGAGTGGGGAGCGGTGCGGGTGGGGGGAAGGGCGGGGGAAGGAAGGGGGACGGGGGGAGCGACGGAGGGCAGAGTGGATAGGATGTTGAGGGGAAGCTGGGGGGGAGGGAGGGCGTGGGGGGAAGGGGGAAGGAGGTGGGGGGAAGAGGGGGTTGCGCGGAGTGGGGGGCTTTGGAGGAAAAGATACTCTAACACGATATATGGTAGATATGACGCGTTTCCGTAAAAATGCAGCTGCTGTAGTCGAGGTTCTTGAAAGGGAGCTGCTTATAATTGGGTTCTAACAGGAAGGAGAAACGGGGAGGAGGGGAATGGAGGAGGTCTGGATTGGCGGAGACGCAAGTGGGTGTGAAGAAGGTGGTTGCATTGCTGCCTTTTCTTGAGAAAGCTTTGAGACGTCTCAAGAATTCACTCTTTACACGTTGCGTTCTAACAGGAAGGGGGAACGGGGAGGAGGGGAATGGGGGAGGTCTGGACTGGTGGAGAAGCTAGTGGGTGTGGAGAAGGAGGAGGTTGCATTGCTGCCTTCTTGAGAAAGCTTTGTCTGTCCGAAAGGGGGAAAGGGCAAGGGTGGGTAGGGGGAGTGTGAAGTTTGGGTTTGGTTTGGCAGATACCTTACTTGAAAACACTGGTATTCATGTACCCATCTAGTATAGTAGCTAGCTGACCCTTCGTCTGACACATTCCTGACTCTTGTAGTTTGCTTTGTAAGAGCATGATTTTGACTTCTGAAGAGCATTACACATTGTCCTAACCAAAAATATACCACAAAACCCAAGCACATGCATTTGACGCATGCGGTATGTTTTAAGTTAGGAAATTGCCAGGTGTCGCGCGATCATGCAGCACACACAACTTTCGAGGGCGTGTTTGTACTCAATGCTCATTGCACCTTCAGCGAGAGATTTGCCAGAGTTCACTCGATTGCCGTACCAGCGGGACAGTGAGAGGCATGTGGGGCTTTAAAATATAATGCCCTGATGTTGCTGTGTAAGGATTGTTAGCACATCTATATACGGTATAACGAAAGGGCCAGATCAAGTGTAGCTCCTTCCCTACCCTATAAGCTAAAGCAGCACACTACACCTGCTGCCGTTAGTTTGTATCTTGACGTTGCAAGGTTGACAGGTTGACATCATATCATGGGGCGTGCAGAACCAATGGGGTAGTTAGTCACCATTTCAGCAGGTCCTGCAAATACAACAATAATTACAACATACGGTAGTGAGAAAGAAACAAGAGGTAAAAGAACCGAAAATAGAGAGAAAAAAGAAGCGCAATAAAAGAGGGGAGATGGAGGGGGCAGGGAATGGTACGTAACACTTAAAGCATAGAGCGCTCACCAGAGTTGGTGCGCACGCATCACCACAAAAGACCCATCACCTCCCCACCCCCCCCCCTCCTCCGCCACCCATATCCCTAACCCTCCCTCAACCCAACCCCCTATCCCACTTTTCCTTCCTCCTCCCCCCCCCCCCCCCCTTCCCCCCACACCCCTTCTCAAATTGAGGATCGAAACATCCCAATTTGATAAAGCACTCACCAGAGTAGGCGCACAGGCATCACCAGCAAAAGACCCTCCGCCTCCGCCGCCTCCCCCACCAATATCCCCAAACCCTCCCCCAACTCCCCCACCAAGCCCCGAGCGAACCCCGCGCATGGGAGCACACGCAGAGCCCGACAAAGGTCCGGGTGAGGGGTTTGAGGTGAGGGAGAGTTGCAGCCGGGAGGAATGTTCCGAGAAACCCAGGGATGTGGTGGGAGGAGGAGGAGGAGGAGGGGGAGGAGGGGGGACAGTAGAGGATAGAGGGATGGATGGAGGAGTGGAGGAGGTGGGTGGCAGAACGGACGAAGCATGCCGTGCGGTCGGACGGAAGGAGGATTGCGAGCCGGACACGTGGCGGCCTGCTATTGGTGCTGTTGTTACTGCTGCTGCCATCTCTGCTACACCTCCTGCTCCTGCTGTTGCTCCTGCTGCTGGGCCTATAGGCTTGGGACCCCCCATTCTTCTGGGCACGCCAACACCCCTCATATCCCCCCTCATGCCTTCACCCATGCCCGCACCCCTCGTTCCCCCACCCATACCTCCCCCCATCTGATCCCCCAACGCATACCCCCCTTCCCCCACCCCTTCCCCCACCCCTTGCCCCATCCCTGTCCCTTCCATCCCCCCGGTCCCTGCTCCCATGATCCCATGCTGCCGACCCCCCATCCTATGGGAATTCCCCTCCATGCCCTGATGGCCTAATGCCCCCCCCATCCTAGGGTGGTTTCCCTCCATGCCCTGATGACCTAATGCCCCCCCCATCCTAGGGTGGTTTTCCTCCATGCCCGGATGGCCCTCGAATGCAGGCAAACCTTCCATGGGTGGAATGGCATCGTGCATGAGAGAACCTGCCATGTGTGAGGGGCCCATGTGAGGGCTCACATGGGGGCTCACATGACGGGGCATGGGAGCACGCATGGATGCACGCATGGGTGCATGCATGGGTGAATGCATGGGTTGCGGCATGCTCGGCATGTAATCAGGCATGGTGCTGCTGTAGGCACCACCTATGTTCCCACCATTCATGGCATTAATATCACCCATGCCACTCCCCATGCCACCCATGCTCGCCATGCCTCCCATCCCTCCTCCTCCACCTCCCATCCCTCCTCCTCCCGTCCCTCCTCCCATCCCTCCACCTCCCATCCCTCCACCTCCCATCCCTCCACCTCCCATCCCTCCACCTCCCATCCCTCCATCCCCTCCCGCTTCCCCCCCATTCATCATCATCATCATCATTGACTCAGCAGCACCACCAGTCCCCATCATACCCCACTCCCCTGCGCCTCCCCCCATTGAGTTTCCCCCCATCGTTCCCCCCATCGTTCCTCCCCCCATCATGCCTTCCCCCATCGTTCCTACCCCCATCATGCCCCCGGCCATATTCCCTTCTAATCCTCCCCACAAACCTCCTTCCATCTCTCCTCCCATACCCCCTCCCATACCTCTTTCCATACCCCCTCTCATACCCCCTCCCATTCCTCTTCCCATACCTCTCACCATAGCTCTTCCCATGCCTCTTCCCAAACCTCTTCTCATCCCTTCCATACTATTGCTAAACTGCTGTACCATACCTGTTTCCATACCTGTTCCCACGCCTGTTCCCGAACCCCAAACCGAAGCTCCCCCCCTGCCACCTCTGTCCATCCTCCCTCCCGCCTCCCCTCTTCCTCCTCCTCTTTCTTCCACCTGCTGCTGCTGCTGCTGCTGCTGCTGCTGCTGCTGCTGCTGCTGCTGCTGCTGCTGCTGCTGCTGCTGCTGCTGCTGCTGCTGCTGCTGCTGCTGCTGCTGCTGCTGCTGCTGCTGCTGCTGCTGCTGCTGCTGCTGCTGCTGCTGCTGCTGCTGCTGCTGCTGCTGCTGCTGCTGCTGCTGCTGCTGCTGCTGCTGCTGCTGCTGCTGCTGCTGCTGCTGCTGGTTGGGAGTGGCAGCGGTAGGGCCCTTGCACGCTGGCTTGTGCCTATCAAGCTCGTGCCTGGAAGGGAAGGAGCCAGGGATGAGAGCCAGGGGACAGAGGGGAGGGGGAGGTTGAGGGCGGAACAACAGGAGCATTCACCCTAGGTGTGTGCTGCTTGTGGTTGGGTTGGGAGTGGCAGCTGAAGGACCCTTGCACGCTGGCCTGTGCCTATCAAGCTCGTGCCTGGAAGGGGAAGGAGTGAGGGATGAGGGGCAGGGGCGGAAGAAAATGGGGAAAAAGAGGGGTGGGGGATGGAAGGAATGAGCAATTTTATCTTGGCGGGCGTGATGCTGATGGTTGACAGAAGAATACGAGCTCACTTGTGGGGAAAGCGAGTGCGACATGACTTGCAGGGGCGTTTGAAGTCCTCTCTTCGGCTGTGGGCCAGGCTGTTCTTCTTGTGGTCGCTCTCATCTTCCCTACGGCCTGCACCGTGAACTCCCAAGAAGCCACAGGATGCCACAGGACGGCCGCGAGCAGCTCACAGCTCACATCTCACCTGCGGCGGAAGCCCGTCCCACACGACTCGCACGGGTGCTTCAAGTCCTCTCTTCGGTTGTGCGCCAGGCTGTACTTCTTGTGGTTGCTCATCTCATCTTCCCCATGAGTCGCCTAAAAGAACACTCACTCACCTTCGAGGGAAGCGAGTGCCGCACGACTCGCAGGGGTGTTTGAAGTCCTCCCTTCGGTTGTGCGCCAGGCTGTACTTTTTATGGTCGCTCATCTCATCATCCCCGCATCATGCGCCTTTAAAGTCACAGCATGTAGGGGTGCTTGGGATGGGATTCCTGTAATAGTAAGGCTAGCCTAGGTGGTAGAGCTCACCTTCGAGGGAAGCGAGTGCCGCACGACTCGCAGGGGTGCTTGAAGTCCTCTCTGCGGTTGTGCGCCAGGCTGTACTTCTTGTGGTTGCTCATCTTCCCTGCATCGTGCGTCTTGAAGTCACACGACGACCCGTCCACTCGCAGCAGGTTACACTCGTATAGGCGCGCCGTCTTGCTGTGCACCTGAGGGCGTGAGAAGGGGAACGGGGAGACTTTTGAGGCACCTCATAGGTAGGAGAAGGGGGACGGGAAGAGGAGGCAAAACCTTCATGACGACCCATCCACTCGCAGAAAATTGCACTCAATACAGGTGTGAACGTACAGGTGTGAACGTACAGGTGTGAACGTACAGGTGTGAACGTACCCTGGCAAAGTGTTTGTTCATGTTGTCTCTGTTCTTGTATGTCTTCTCGCACCCAGGCGCAAGACACATGAACCTCCCCTCCGCCTCTAAAACGACCATTGAACCATCTCACACCCACCCTCGGCTTGCCTTGTGAGATGCCTCAAACCAACTCAGATCCCTCGACTTGAGAACGTACCTTGGCAAAGTGTTTGTTCATGTTGTCTCTGTTCTTGTACGTCTTCTCACACCCAGGTGCAAGACACATGAACCTCCCCTCCGCCCCCACCTCCCCTCCAACACCCACAGCAACACCGCCACTCGCAGCAACAGCGCTTGCCGCACCGCTCACAACCATTGCCCTCTCGGCACCACCACCACCAGCAGCACCACCAGAACCACCAGCAGCAGCAGCGGCGGCGGCGGCGGCGGCGGCAACAGAAGAAGAAGCAGGAGCGGCGGCAGCATTACCACCCACAGTATCAGAGGCTACCATAGCACCAGAGGTCATCACTATCACCTCCCCTCCAGTCCCACCACCTGCCAGTAGCCTATCACTAGTAAAGTTCCCATCCCTCCCACCCCCACCCGCACTGGCAGCTGCTACTGAATCAGCATCCCCCCGGGAAAGGACAGAAGGTAAGTCAGCACGTGCTGCTCCTAGTGCTGCTGCTGGCACCCTCGCTGCTGCTGCTGCCGTTGACACTGCTGCTGCCGCTGACACTGCTGCCCCAGCTGCTTCCCACCCGCCTCCTGCTCCTTCCCTGCCTCTTGCTCCTCCCTCCCCTTCTGCTCCTCCCTCCCCTTCTGCTCCTCCCTCCCCTTCTGCTCCTCGTTTCCATGCTGCTGGTCCAAGCTCATGATCATTGCTGCCTTCCTCCTCCCTTCTCCCCTCCTCCCTCCCTTCTTCCCTCCCCTCCTCCCTCCCCTCCTCATCCCCATTCTCACTCCCCTCCTCCATACCCTCTTCCCTTTCCTCCTCCCCTCTATCCTCCCTCTCACATTCCCCACCCCACTCCCCGCCCCCCTCCCTCCCGCTCCCATTCCTCATGTACTTCCTCATAGGCACAGCGGACACAGTTACAGTTACCTCCGCCACCCTCCCCCCTCCACCCACCAGCGGCCCCACAGCCACACCCACTTCATCCCCCTCCTCCTCCCGCTCTCTCTTCATCCCAACAAGTCTAATCGTTGCCTTATGAAGGGCACGCCGGGGAAACGCGACCCCAGGAGAAACAGCACGGGCAAATGCATTTCCAAGAGAGTTAGGCATCCCCAGGGGCGAGGCAAAAGCATTTCCAGCCAGGGGGTAAGGCGAGGGAACAGCCTTTGCAGGGGAGGCAGATGGGGGAAGTGGAGAGGGCTCACTGGTGTCTGTGGTGAGTGCTTTCCCTGGAAGAAGGGTATTTCCTGGGAGCACGTGCGAGACAGGACGTCTGGTAGAAGCAACTTCTGCACTGGCAGCAACAGGGTTTTGGGTCTGAGTGTTGTCAGCAGCCCAGTGGTCTTGTGAATCTCGTCTGCTGGCAGGGGGATCTTGCCTGTTGGCGTTGCTCCCACTGAAAGCAGTGGGGTTTCCGCTGACAGCAGTAGGGTTTTGGGTCTGAGTGTTTTCAGCAGCCCAGTGGTCTCGTGACTCTCGTCTGCTGGCAGGGGGATCTTGCCTGTTGGCGTTGCTCCCACTGAAAGCAGTCGGGTTTTCACTGAACCCATTGCTGGATTCATCGGGAGGTGAAGCAAGAGGGAGTGACTGGTCGTCGTGACTGTTCCTTGCTTCGCCAGTGGGAGCAGGTCTGCTTGGGGCGTGTTCACTGAAGGCAGTTTCAGGGGTGGTGCCTTCAGCCCCCCCGGTATGCTGCTCCTGCTGCTGCTGCCGCTGCTGCTGCTGCAACAAGCCTTCCTGGCCGCTCCTTGCTTCCCCAGTGGGGGCAGGTTTGCTTGGGTTGTGTTCACTGAATGCAGTTTCAGGGGTGTTACCTTCAGCACCAGTATGCTGTTGCTGCTGCTGCTGCTGCTGCTGCTGATGATGATGATGCAAAGAGTCCTCCTGTCCATCCCTGGCTGATCCCTGCTCGGCTGGTGATGCTGCTGTTGCTGCGGCTGCTGCAGATGACGATGTTGATGGTGCTGCTGCTGCTGCTGTTGCAGTTCCTGCTCTTGCTCCTGCTCCTCCTCCTGCTCCTGCACCTACTCTTCCTGCTGATGCTGCACCGGCATCAGCAACACCAGCACCAGCAGCACCACCACCAGAAGCACCACCAACACCGGAAGCATCACCAGCACCACCAAAACCAGCACCACCAGCAGCACCACGCGCACCGGCAGCAGTATCAACACCAGCAACGCCTGCAGCACCAACAGCACCGGCAGCAGTATCAACACCAGCAACGCCTGCAGCACCAACAGCACCGGCAGCAGTATCAACACTAGCAACGCCTGCAGCACCAACAGCACCGGCAGCAGTATCAACACCAGCAACGCCTGCAGCACCAACAGCACTGGCAGCAGTATCACCAGCACCGGCAGCACTAGCACCGGCACCATCAGCAGCATCGGCACCACCATCAGCACCACCAGCAGCAGTATCATCAGCCACAGCAGGCCCCACTGCTACACCTACCCTTTCAGATTCTTCCAATTCTTGCAGCTGGGTCAGTAGAGCAGGTGGCAGCGGCGTTACATCTGGCATCACATCTCGTGTTGCATCTGCCGTTGCATCCTCGATTACATCTGGAGTTACATCTTGGGCAGTTGAGCCTGGGCGGAAGCGGACTGCTGCTGCAGATGAAACAGGTGTCGCAGGAGCAGAGCACGTCCCAGAAGGCCCAGGAAAACCACCTGAAAAAACACCTGGAAAACCACCTGGAAAACCACCTGGAAAACCACCTGGAAAACCGCCTGTGAGCCGGCTACTGTTATGTCTGGCACCAGCAGCTGTCGCAGCAGACGAAACGCGACGGGTCCTGGCACCACCGGCTGTAGCAAGGGCTGTAGCACCAGCTATAGCATGGACAGTAGTGAAGACAGATACAGAGGCAGGTTGGGCAGAGGGAGGTGGGAGCGAGGAGCAGCGAGGGCGGATGGTTGATGGTGGTGCATCCATGGCTTGGCATGGATCGTCGTCATTCGCAAATGCATCCTCATCCTCCCCACATGCATCCCCTTCCTCCCCACATGCATCCTCATCCTCCCCACATGCATCCTCCTCATCCCCTGCCCCACATGCATCATCCTCCCCATATGCATCCTCCTCTGCTGCACATGCATCATCATCCTCCCCAAACGCATGTGCAGCAGCACCAGCCATACCATCCCGCTCATAACCACCAATACCACCACACTCACCATCAGCAGCACCACTGCCTGCTTCCCATGCTACAGGCCCGTCAACAGGCCTAACGCCGGACCTCATACCGGACCTAGTGCCAGACCTATTACCGGACCTGTTACCGGACCTGATGCCGAACCTCCCGGCACCTGTGCCGTCCCTACCATCCTGCTCCACACCGTTGACCATGCGTCTGTATGCATAGCTGAGTTTCGTACTCCTATAAGCAGCGGCGGCATCATCATCATGTGACTGATGTGCGTCATGTGCTTCATCATGTGGCACATGCGCCTGGGGATCCCCGGGTCTGCTTGGATCGCCATTCACATGCGGATACGCCCTAGGTGATACAGGGTCACTTGGGTTGTTGTGGTTGCCGTGCGGATTGGCAAGACTGCGCGGCACAGGAGAATGGTCAAGGGCAAGGCCATGCGGATTGGCATGCGGATTGGCAGCTCCATGCTGATCGCGAAAGGCATGGTTGGCGGTGGCATTGTGGGTGTACACGTGGGGATGGTGGCTACTGTTAGTGGGGTTGCTGGGATGCGGATGGGGAGGAGGAATGTTGGGGGTGCCGATAGGATTGTGGAAGGCATGATGGGTAAAGACGTGGGGATGATGGTTAGGGGCGGTAGGGTTGCTGGAATGCGGATGGGGAGGAGGAGTGTGGGGAGTGCCGGCGGCAGCATGGTTGCGAGCTCTGGCTGCTGCGTTTCGTTGGCCCTGAGATGGGATGAGGGGTAGAATGTGGGAACAGGAGAACATGAGAACAGGAGAACGTGGGAGATTTCCATCCGCCTCAAAAAGCGGTGCCGGAAGCAGCATGGGTGCGAGCTCCTGCTGCTGCGTTTCGTTGGCCCTGAGATGGAGATGGGAATGGGAGAAAACGTGGGGGACAGATTAGTGGAAATAGGGTTGCTGGAATGCGGATGGAGAGGAGGAGTGTGGGGAGTGCCGGCGGCAGCATGGGTGCGAGCCCTGGCTGCTGCGTTCCGTTGGCCCTAAGATGGGATGGGGAGGGGAGTGGTAACATGGGGGACAGGAAGACAGACAGGCAGACAGACAGGCCGACACAGATGGAGGATGCAGACGGTTAGTGGCAGTGTGGAATGGGGATGGGCAGGAGGAGTCTTGGGAGTGCCGGCCGGCAGCATGGGTGCGAGCCCTGGCTGCTGCGTTTTGTGGCATTGTGGTGGAATAAGGAGGGGAATGGGAGAGCGTGGAAGACATGGATCTGCAGGCGAGCAGCAGCAGGCGCACATGATGTTCTGGATCAAAACTGAAAACACGCCTCAAACCAAACATGCATGTAGGCCGCACTCAGTGTATGCAACCCTTCATGCGAGCACACACACACACACGCACTCACCAGGCGAACCAGGTTGGTGCCTGCCTGCTTCAGCACTGCTTCGATTCGCTTCAGCACCTGAGTACACAAGGTAACCACCGTAATAAACATGAAAATAAATCACGAGGATTGGTAAGCATATACTCCAATTCCCACAGGGCACAGGCTTAGTAAGCCAACGAATCATGTCACCCTGACTTTTTAAGCGCCTCATTCTATACAAGGTTTAAGGTCACGAAGAAAGCCAAACTCGCTAAGCGTAGCACTTAAGTTAGCACCAGCACCGTGGCACTCACATCAGCTGTCTGTGCTTTGACGTCCACCATCGAGACATTGGCTAGCATCTGAGGAGAGGGGCGGGCAGAGGCACATAAAGAGCAAGGCAACAGAGAGAAGAGGAACACCAGAATGTTTCTTAGGCGCCTGAAGTGTCTGTGCTTTGACGTCCACCATCGAGACATTGGCTAGCATCTGGGGAGGGGGGGGGGAGGGGGGAGACAAAGGAACACAGAGGGCGAATACAGAGAAACGTGTTGTCAAGCCCATGCGGATTAGAAAGGTCATTTCGCCCAGCCAGGTGACGCGGGTCATGCGGATTGGAAAGGCCATGTGTACTTGCAGGGTCAAATACAGAGAGAACAGTGTGAATGCGAACTGAGCACAGCATAGTTAAGAACGCAAAGCTCCTTGTTCCTCTCGTCTCGTGGCACATTCTAGCATCTAAGAGAAGAGAAGTACATTCACAAATCACAGGAAGGAAACACGGCCGCGGTGACGACATTGGATTGAACACAGATAGCAACATTGACCGCAAGATAGTAACATAACATCACAGGCCCTAAACCAATAAGAGATAACGAGACACGCGGCTCACAGACATACAGTGGGGTCCATGCAGAGGCAGCCAGAGATGAGCGAACATGCACATACAGCCATAAGCCATAAGCCATAAGCCATAAGCCATACAGAGAATAACAACCATAGCGCGCACGCATGCGAACATACTGTGGGATCCATGCAGAGACAGCAACAGACGAGGACAAAGCCCAGGCACCGACTTTCACAACAACACCAATATACAGACATACGCAGCGCGCATGCGCACATACAGTGGGGTCCATACAGAGGCAGCCAGAGACGAGGACAAAGCCCCCCGATCGAACCATCTCGTCGTCTCTTTCGATGCTCCTGGTAAGACGAGGAGGGAGGGAGAAGGAAAGTGGGGAGCAAAGGCAGGAGGGATGAACTGAAGGGGCACTGGTGCATGGGGAATCATATCGTAGTAACGAGGACAAAGCCTCCTGATCGAACCATCTCGTCGTCTCTTTCGATGCTCCTGGCATGGGGGAAAGGGGGAGGGGGGGACGGGGGGAAGGGTTGAGACGTCTCGGAACCTGCAGAGGCAGCCAGGGACGAGGACAAAGCCTCCTGATCGAACCATCTCGTCGTCTCTTTCGATGCTCCTGGTAAGACAAAAGGGAAGGAGCGGGTAAAAGGGGAAGCAAGGGCAGGAGGGAGGGATGAGCTGAAGGGAGCACTGGTGGTGCAAGGGGAATCATATCCTAGCATCATAATTCTCGCTTTGATACAGCATACAGAGCATCATGCTTCTAGCAACTTCTTCCCCTGCATACAGAATACATGCACTAGCTTACTCAGACGATGGAGATGCTTCACCCCCTTCTCCTTTTTCTCCTCCTCCTCCTCCTCCTCCTCCTTTTTCTTCTGCTGCTGCTGCCTCTCCTTCTTCACCTCCTCCTCCCCCTCCCTCTCCTATTCCCCCTCCTCCTCTCCTTCCTCCTCCTCCTCCCCCTCCTTCCCCTCCTCCTCCTCTCCCCCCTCCTTCTGGCTCTTCACATGCAGCTGCATCTACTACCACGTCACACGGCGCACCGTCGTGCTCTGCCGATGGGGGGAATCGGCTCTGCCGTTCCTCTTCGTCTGGAATCATCTTGGAAATAAAAACTTCTCTGTGCAATCGTCCCACCTTCTCTTCAACGCAGTGAATTCACACTAGACTCTTGTCGGACCAGCAGAATGATTACTTCCGAAGTATTGAGTCAACTTGAAGACATCTTGAAGATAATCCTCGTCCCTCACCGCCACCGCGCGGCAATCAAAATCATTTACCGCGCCGCGCTATCCACGTGCGTGCATCCAATGGATTGTGCCCCGAACCAAAACCTTTGTTCGCATTACTAGTACCAGCTCTAATTTTGATATGGCTCTATCTTTCGCGTTCCGTTAACCGCCACCGTCGATCCACGTTACTGCGTCGTCGTAACGCGAATAGAAGCTTCCCGAGACAACAATCTGACTAGGACTGAATCTAATCTGGATGCGTCGTCGTCAAATGCACGATCTAGTCGCCTTGTGGACGGAACGAACGATGCACACGATATGAAAAACGGCGCGGCACCGACTCGCGGACGGAGGACGTCGGAATCACCAACGCGGCGAAGATTGCGATTCGGATACCAGGAGACACGCTCACCGCGATGAATGAATGATAGATCTCGGCAGCACGGCTATTTTCCGGAAATATTACACGGGTTCTTTCCGAGTACTAGTAGTACTAGCAACTGGAAATTGATTTGTAAGACGACGATATGTACGGAGCTTTCTGACCTATGAAAAAAATCAAAACGTCACGTAGTCACCTAATCATACTCCATAAGCATTGTCGAGATACTAAGTTCCTGGCTCAACGCTGAAACATTCGATAATACAATTGTGCTAACGCCGGCCACTACAAGGTAAAAAAAAACACATACTTTTCAAAATCAGCTAAACTCTAGCGCACCACCCGATTCTGGTGATCTAAAATTAGCTAACGGCGCAAGTGCAAAATACCTCGAATGGAGAAAAAAATACCAGTTTCCTGAACGAGTTTGACGAAATTACATTCTCCTGCACCGCGTTGAGAATGAATGCGCTCGAAAACGAAAAAGGCTATCGCACCACTGAACAGGACAAGGAAATCGAGTCGCAATATGTCTTTTTAGCCTAATATGACTTGCTAACTTCGCCGGCTAACCAACAAGCACGGTGCTGGTGCACGGAAACACCTTGCAAGAACTACAAGTGAGGGAAAGTGGAGGGAGAAATCATGATGCTACTACTACATCCAGCCACAACCCTAACTTCACTCTCACTACGGCTGTCCCTGTCAACTCCATCCTGCTCCCTTGGCCTTACTCGAACCTTGTCAGGAAACCCTCATCCGTCTCGTAGGGCTCATTCCTGAGTGGAAAACAAAATGATTTTCCTGTTGTTGTACAGTAGGATAGGCAAGCATGAGGAACGCTTGTAAGTGGTGAACAAATGTGACAAGGTCGCTACTTGCTTGTGTGCGGATCATAGCAAGGCATCTTGTTCTGCGTCCTTCGCATTTGGGAAGTCTAGTTCCAGAACATTCTTGCATGAGCGTGGATTGATGGCGTGTTGATACACGAGAGTGGGTACAGTGTAACCCTGCCTTCAGTCCGTAAATACAAACAGCTTCTGCCCCGTTCGATTCGATTTTTCCCAACCCGATGTGGGTGAGCACTTGATTGGTCACGAGTCACCTGGCCGAAATTTCGCGAATCTTGTGCATCACAGCACTCCAGGAGGACACCTTATCGAACGAACCAGATGCACTTTGAGTGTTCCTTGCAATATTGACAACGACTGACCGACCACGTGGAGGAAAACAGCTGCTTCACTTCAACTTCATTCCAACCAATCGCATCTGTAGCATGGCACGTGTAAGAAAAATGCACCCGTATCGAGTTTCTTGTTAGTGGATAAATTTCATAGACATAATGATACATTTATGTCTGATTCAACATATAAATGAGGTGTGTTTATAATTTGTCAGAATGTGCATTTCCATTTGATTATAACACTGAATTCCTTTCTTTCTTCCCTGTTGAGTTGACCCTCCTTCCCCACTCCCCTTCCCCCTTCCACAACCTACCGTACTTGAAAACCGTTTTTAGTATAGTATCCTGATAATGTCCAACTAACACTTGGAACAGACAGGCTACACAAATCATTCAATCAAAATAATAATCATAGCAGCCTGCTGCTAGCAAATGACTGTTAGAATCTTACGGGAAAGTTGTGTGTGGACTATCGAAAGGGAAAGATACAAAGGAGAAACCTAAGTGGTTGTACCCCACAGTGAGTACCCCACTAAGCCTAACCAAACTATAACAAATATACACATATGTTTGACACACCCCCATAGGCAAAGTGGGGGAGAACAGAGGGTCACAAGACCAGTCAAGAAGTGCAAAGCAAGCTCAGGGTGGATCACAACGTCGCCACGCAGTCTGAGCACAAGCAAGAAGGCCACAAGGCCAGTTCACATGCAGAAATATATATGTAACAACAACAGTACAGTGATATCTACCTACAAGAACAAGCATGCAGGAATACATATAAATCATGGTACAAACAAGGCCTACAGCAAGTGAGGAAGAGTGGGCACAAGGCCTAACAAAGTGCAGAAACGCTGATGATCACCAGGCGGAAGCGCCTTGGTGAATATATCAGCAGTGTTGGCCCGAGTGGCCACGTATGTAAGACGAAGCTGGCCACGCTGCTGCAGCTCTCGAGCAAGAAAGTAACGGAGAGCGATGTGCTTTGTTCTGTGCTCCAGTCTGTGCTCCTGACACAAGGCAATGGCGGCCTTGTTGTCGACGTACAGAACTGGAGGAGAACGAGGCCTCTCTCCCAAGTCGGTCAGCAGGTAGGTGAGCCAGCGCAGCTCCTGTGCAGCCATGGCTGTGGCGTAGATCTCTGCCTCACAGCTGGAGCCGAGAACTGAAGACGAACGTGTAGAACGCCAGGAAACTGAACCAGAACCAAGGCTGAAGGTGTAACCCTGTGACGACCGCTGCGTAGCCTGGTCGTCAACCCAAGAGGCGTCCGAGTGACCTGTGAGGACAACGTCACCCCGTCCTCCAAGCACGAGCCCCATGCCCGATGTACTGCACAAGTAGCGTAGTACCCTCTTGGCAGCATCCATGTGCACCTTTCGGTGCCGACCAGGAGCCACGTAGCGAGCCAGAAGGCCAAGAGGGTACGCAAGGTCAGGACGAGTGCAAGTCATCAGGTACATGAGGCAGCCCAATAACTCTGGGTAAGGACCACTCGGCTCTACGGACTCGTCCGAAGGTGGAGCTGAGAGCGAGTGACCTGTAGCCAGAGGAGTGGCCTGTGCTGAGGACCAGGTGAAACCGAAGCGCTGAAGGACCTGCTGCACCATGTGTGACTGAGTCAGTGTGATGGTGCGGCGTGCTCTGTCCCGGGTGATCTGCAAGCCAAGGTAGCTGCGCAGTTCACCCAGGTTTGTGCACGTGTGTCTCTTCTGCAGCTCCGACTTTACCAGGGCGAGAGCCTCAGTGTCAGCAGTGGCAAAGACCAAGTCGTCGACGTACACGAGAACGTAGAACGGCGGCAGCGAAGTGTCGGTGCGCAAAAACAGCGACGGGTCAGCAGTCGACGGAGCAAACCCAAGAGCCGCAAGTGTCGTCCTCAGTGTGTCGTGCCACTCACGTGGTGCCTGGCGGAGACCGTAGACCGGCCGCCGGAGGCTCCACTGGGTACCAGGAGGGAACGACCCAGTGAAGCCAGGAGGGCGGCGCAGCCAAATCTCCTCGTGCAGGCTGCCCTGTAAGAAGGCTGTGCTGAAGTCAAGAGAGTGAAGCTCGTAGTCACGCTGAGCGGCAACGTGCAGCAGCACCCGAAGAGTGGTCATCTTCGGGGTGGGGGAGAAGGTCTGGAAGAAGTCAACTCCCTCTCGCTGGCTGAAGCCTCGAGCCACGTACCGAGCCTTGAAGACAGGCGGAGAACCTGGCGGCCGCTTCACCCTGAAAATCCACATGCCACTGACAATGTTCGCCCCAGGAGGGGGAACCTCGTCGACGTAGGTGCCTGTGGACTTCCAGGATGCCATCTCTGCGTCCATGGCTGTCTGCCACTGAGAGGAGTACTCACCCGCGATCGCCTCAGCGTAAGAGCGCGGGGTAGGGATGTCTGGTGCATCCGGGTCTCCCTCAGGGGCAAGCAGCATGGATATGAGATGAGGCGCAGCGGCTGCAAGACACTCAAGGTCCTCCTGTCTGTCCTCAAGGACGTCCGTGCCAAGAGCACACTCACCCCCGACGGACGGAGGACAGACAGACTCAGACTCAGCAACAAGACTGGCGGCGTAGTCGAGACGACAGGCAGCAGCAAAGTCAACAAGCTCAGCGACTAAGGCAGACGCAGCAGCAGACTCAAACGACGGGTCTTTGACAACAGTGGCAAGCAGACGCGTGACAGTAGAGTGCTCAGCACGAAACTGGTCAGACGCAGGGTCAGCAACGACAGGCAGAGAGGACGCAGGGGGAGACGGCAGAGGAACACGCAGCGGAGGAGAGGAAGGACGACGAACTACAAGGTGAGAGCCGGAGACAGCCGGCTGCCGCTGACGAGGAACACGACGACCGGAACGACCAGAACGGACAGGTGAGACAGGACGCGACGCAGGCTCACGACGCTCAGCAAGGCCCCTAGTCTGCTCTGTGTACGGAGAAGGA